GCCAGGTTTCCCCCTCAAGCGAATTGGGTAGCGCGGGTCGCCCGACCTTCCGGGATTCCAGAATTGGGCCCTGGGGGGTCTGGCTCCATCTTGAGGCCCCGGACAGCCCAGCTGACGCTGAACAGACTCCAAACCTCATCGCCGAGTAAGCTCCTTGTGCCCCTTTTGTTCCTCCTTTTAACACACGGTCGGAACCAATCCACGCATACTGCCTGCCATTCTTTTGCGCACCACAATCTCATAGCTTTGGCTGCATCATAGTAGTACAAGTCGCTCGCAGCACAATAGCGGTACTCCGCAGCCAACAGACGAACACCATGGCCGTCCAGTCAGCCTCAGGCACGCTGGGGGGCGTGTCGATGAAGCATCTCTCACTTGCGACAGTATGTGCACCTCTCCCGCGCTCTATGACCCACGACTAACCTCCTCAATAGCTCATCTTTCAGAATTCCATGCTTATTTTGGTAGGCCAACCCGTCCAGCACCGAAGCTCCGCGTACCATGGTAGACCGTCATAGTACGATCGGGCAGAGCTTTGCTGGAAGAGTACAACGTGATACACGTGGGCCGGGTCACATATTCTTGGAAACTAATGCGACAGCAGATTATGCACTATTCGCGCGTCATGCCTCTCGTTGGCGGCCAACGATATCACGCAAGCACGAGCGTTTTTTTGAACGAGGTGATGAAACTGGGGATCAGCGGGTCAATGGTGAGTCAACTTAACTATGAGATTCGGGGATGGACAAGATGTGCTGACCTGTGCTGCAGGCTCTATATGACTTGACCAACACAATGCCTTCGACCACAACCATGCCAACGCTCTTCCGTACCCTCCTCAGCCAAATCTTCACCAACGAGAGTTGGAAACTTGCCATACCGGCCGTGCTATACACGATACAAAATAATCTGCAGTATGTGGCAGTCAGTAATCTGGATGCGGCGACATTCCAGGTTACGTATCAACTCAAAATCCTCACGACAGCTATTTTTAGCGTTCTGCTGCTACGCAGAGTCCTTTCGCCCCGTAAATGGCTATCCTTGTTTCTGCTCATCCTCGGAGTGTCCATTATACAAGTTCCTCAGGCCAGCTCTCAGATCAAAGACAAGGCCTGGGCTGCACGAACAATGGAGAAGATGCACAGCCTTGGCAGCAATGCGGTTGCACATATCATGCGATCTGGGTCTTATGAAGGAATACATAAGGATCGAGCAGCACAAGTGCCCCATATGGATGCACGGGTTGGGCTAACCGCTGTTCTATTAGCATGCGCCTTGTCAGGACTGGCGGGTGTCACATTCGAGAAGATCTTGAAAGAATCGTCGGGCGCGCAATCCACGTCGCTCTGGGTGCGCAATTGCCAGCTTGGCTTCTGGTCCCTATTTCCAGCACTATTCCTTGGCGTAGTCTGGAAAGATGGCGAGATCATTGCAAAGACTGGCTTCTTTGCAGGCTACAACTGGGTCGTGTGGACCGCCATTTGCTTCCAGGCAGCTGGTGGCATTGTCGTTGCCCTGGTTATCAACTATGCGGACAATATCGCAAAGAACTTTGCCACTTCGATATCAATCTTGCTTAGCTGCGTTGCTAGTGTATACTTTTTTGACTTCAAAGTCACCAAATCAGTAAGTCACATTCATATGATGAAGAGAAGGATGATACTGATAGCCATAGTTCTTTATCGGTACTAGTGTTGTTCTATTCGCGACATATCTCTACACCAAGCCAGAGCGGACCGACCACCAATCCCCGCTGAGCATCGCTGAATTCGAGAAAACAACAACGGAGCGAAGTCCAGCTCATGTTCGCCATGATGTTGACTATGCGCGTGTGGACCAAAGTAGCCCAATAGGGGCGAATGGATCGCGACCTGGGTCGCCTACCAGAGATCAAAGAGTTGATAAGCGGGAGGATTGAGTAGGCCAATTGTGGTAGATGCTACTGCCTTGAACATCTGACGTCGCTCAGTCACTTAGACGATACTGCAATCGATGTGTATTTTTTTTTTCGCAAAGTCACAAGAACGCGTTGGGGGTGCGACTTCCCTTTGTGCCTTCCCCTCTCGTCTCATCAACTCTCACGCCTCACCTGTCGTCTGTAACCCCGCTCGTGTCATCACATACTATTGCGTTGCATTTACACACTACAAGCATCGAACACTCCAAGCACTGTTTCTGTACGTGCTGTCGCCGGTCTATACTGTGCCTCAAGTGCAATTTTACCTGTGGCAGTCATGACTAAGGAGTACCATCACCACCGCCACAACGAAGTTAACGAGCTCGAAGCTGCACAAGCTGGACAATATGATTCTCGACATGACATGCTGCAACCTCGCTTCACGCAGCCAGCAAGACAAGTGCCACCACGTGATCGATATCGTGCCACGCTGTGCCATGATCCCATGTACGATGTAGTAGAGGATGAGGAGCTATATGACTATGGCGGGCCGTTTGACTCATTTGGTGAGTAGTATGTCGAAATTACTAGTGGGAAGCGTACTAATTCCCCTACTCTTAGATGAAGAGCTACTTCAACTGCCCTATCAGGACCGTCAATGTCAGGCAGTGCAGGGCAGGGGCCGTCTCTCACTCGCGCCAGGGCCTTCAAGATCCTTCTCTCAGGCTGCTCCCATACATTCTCGACCTCTGTATCAAGCGCGTGATCAGTATGAGCACGAAGAAGGAGGTGATTGATTGGACACTTCGGCACCATGCCATTTTCATGCTGACGATCAGCAGGAGAGGACGCTCGTAATGAGGCTGTGCGTGGTCAACTGAGTAAGTTTGCAGACGCAATAATGCGATGACCTGAAGGTGCTTACAAATATCTACAGGACGCTTTGCGTACAATGTCGATTACCCTAGGGAGCCCAGCTCGGACTGGCAGATCGGTGCATCTTCCAGTCCAGCAATGAGAGCTGGTCAGCGACGCGCGGAGCAAAGCACCTATGTGCCGGGTCTATATAGACCAATGGAAACATCTTTCGCTGAAGAGCGACACAACGTTCGGAAGTTGTCAGATATGGCCGCAAATAATTTACAAGATGACAGATATCTTGCACAACCTGAGTCGGACGATTGTGAACATCGTCATACTCTACAGCACAAACAACGGGTTGAACGTCCCTTTCGCCAGCTGAAGCCCTCCCGTTTCAATTCTGAACTACCCGGGCACGCTCATGCTGCGCCAACGGTTAAAGGCATCCCACTTGTTCCAATCATCACTCTACCCGATCGACTGCAGACCATCTTTCCATACCCAACTTTCAACGCTGTTCAGTCCAAGTGTTTCCAAAAGATATTCCAAAGCGACGACAACTTCGTACTTGCCTCCCCGACAGGAAGTGGAAAGACGGTGGTCCTAGAACTCGCCATATGTCGGGCTGTGGTCTCCAATGCAACAGATCAGTACAAGATTGTGTACCAAGCACCTACCAAAGCTCTTTGCTCCGAACGTCAACGAGATTGGGAAAAGAAGTTCCAATCGATTGGGTTGAAATGTGCCGAACTTACTGGTGACAGCGACGCCACAGATTTACGCAATGTGCAAACGGCCAATATCATCATCACTACACCTGAGAAATGGGACAGTGTGACGAGGAAGTGGAAAGACCACGAGAAGCTTATGAGACTCATCAAGCTTTTCCTTATTGACGAGGTCCACATACTCAAAGAAAACCGAGGCGCTGTCTTGGAAGTGGTTGTTTCACGAACGAAATCTATCGCTACTGACGTTCGTTTTGTCGCTCTTTCCGCAACCGTCCCGAATTTCCATGATGTAGCAGTCTGGTTGGGGAAGAATACAATGGAACCAGATGTACCTGCTGCGAACGAAAAGTTTGGGGAGGAGTTTCGGCCAGTCAAACTCCAAAAGCATGTTTGTGGCTATGTTTCGAATCAAAGCAACGACTTTGCTTTTGAAAAGTTTATTGACAAAAAGTTGCCTGGAGTCATTGCCAACTACTCTGAAGGAAAGCCAATCATGATATTTTGCGCCACTAGGAAATCCACTATCCATACGGCGAAATTGATCGCCAACTGGTGGATGTCGACACCTGATCGTTCCCGATTCTGGTATCCGCCTCAGAAGCCACCTATGATGTCCAACAAAGAATTAAGTGAGGTGGTCTCTTCTGGGATTGCCTTCCATCATGCTGGTCTAGACCATAATGACCGAGTGCAGATCGAGAAAAGCTTCATCGCGGGAGAGCTCAATGTCATATGTTGTACGTCAACGCTGGCCGTAGGAGTGAACTTGCCTTGCCATCTGGTTATCATCAAAAACACCGTCTCATTTACCGAAAAAGGGATGCAGGAATATTCGGACTTGGAGATGATGCAAATGCTTGGTCGGGCAGGTCGACCACAATTCGATGACTCTGCGGTAGCAGTGATTATGACACGCCAGGCAAAAGCGCATCGATATGAGATGATGGTGACTGGAGAGGAGCTTCTTGAAAGCAAACTCCATCTCAACTTAATCGACCATATGAATGCCGAGATTGGCCTGGGAACCATCTCTGACCTGGTCTCTGCCAGAAAATGGCTCAAGAGAACATTTCTCTACGTCCGACTCCAGCAGAATCCAGTCCATTACAAACTAGAAGGCGCACGAAGTGGCCAAAGTGTGGAAGAGCAGGTCGATGACATCTGCGCCCGTGACATAACCCTCTTACAAGATACCAATCTTGTCTCGGGTCAGGAACATATTCACTGTACTGAGTTTGGACACGCCATGGCACGATATTATGTCCACTTTCAGACAATGCAAGTGATGATGGGTCTTCAGCCCAAGTCTTCTCCATCCGAGACTGTGAGTCACTTGTCTCAGAACACAACCGCTGATCAACTGCCTGCTAACACCCTCTCCAGTTATCTGCCATTGCTCAAGCTTCGGAGTACTCCATGCTTCGGTTCCGCCAGGGCGAGAAGCAATTTTATAAACTCCTCAACAAGTCACCGCAAATTCGCTGGGCCATTCCAGTCAACCTCGATATCCCGGCTCACAAGGTTTCGCTGATCATACAAGCCGTCCTGGGATCTGCAGACATCTCATGGGACGGCGAAATGAGCAAGCATAGAACGCATTACAACATGGACACCCAAATGGTGTTTAAAAACGTTAACAGCTTAGTCAGATGCATCATAGACTGTCAAATCCATTTAGGAGACTCTGTCAGCATACATAGCGCAATGATGCTAGAACGTAGTCTTGGATCGAAAGCCTGGGACGACAGTCCGTTGCAGATGAGGCAGATTGATGGAATTGGTGTCGTAGCAGTGCGCAAGTTTGTCAATGCTGGTATCAGATGCATGGACGACCTTGAGGCTTCCGAACCACATCGGATTGAAGCTCTCGTTGGCAGGAACCCACCCTTTGGCCTTAAGATCCTAGAGAAAGTTCGACAATTTCCAAAGCTTCGAGTGTCACTCCACGTGCAGCCATCATCAGTAAGTGGTAGTACACTTCATCCCATGGTCAATAGATTAATGTTGAGTAGGCCAGAAAAGCTTCTGGTGGTGTGACTGTTCAGATCAAGACAGACATCGGCTTCATCAATGAAAAGCCTCCTTATCGTTTTAATTTTAGGCCAGTGTACGTTTGTCTTTTGGCTGAGACATCAAATGGCCAGAAGATACACTTTGCTCGAATCAGGTTCGTAGATATTCGGTCCACTACTTTGTCTTCAAATTAATTCCACTCAGTGCCCAGAAACTAGGGTCAGGACAGAGCCTCGTCTTTCCGGCACTTCTAACCAGCCATGATCAAAGCGTGAACTGTTATGTCACGTGCAATGGAATCGGTCAGTATGTCTATAGTACCAAAGAGCCCTTGCTAACTTGCCTAAGCGGGTAGCTTACGAGACGCGACTGTACGACCTCAAATCGCTCCAGCATTGTTTTCACCCATCAGCCCTGAACTGGATCTTCCACACCAAGCAAATGTCTCCAAACGTCGCAATGAAGTCTTTAACCCGTCTCGACGGCGTTCTACTACCAGTGAAGATTTTGATGACGACGGCATTGACGATGACGCACTGTTGAACGTACCCCTAGCCGATCTCGAATTCGATCACATTGAGAACTACGCAAATCCTACCGATGTAATTACTCGAAGGAACACTGTCAAAAACAAAGCCACCCACCCAAGAATAGATGCAAAAGAAAACAATCTCGCGACAAGAGATGAAGACGACCATCCAGTACAGTTGGCGAATGGGAAGTGGGCCTGTAATCATGTATGCAAGAATAAGACGTCGTGCAAACATATGTGTTGTAAGACGGGGATGGATAAGCCGCCGAAGAAGAAAACCAGTGCCAAATGCACGACATCCGATGGTCATGCTAGTCAATCTCAGCAGCAGGAAACGAGCCCGACAAGGCAGAACGTGCAGACGAAGCTGCAGCTGACAGCATCGAAACGCAAGAGTTCAGCTCCCATTGAAGAGCTTGACCTAACACATCAAGAGAAGACGAGGAGGGCTAACTATGCTATAAACGGACCGAGAGACTATCGAGAACTGCACCACCTTCACAAAACAGTCCAGGGAACCAAATTGCCCAATTCGCTCAATTCGGTCATGCACAGTAAACCGGCTTATTGTTACTCTGAAGGGGGCGAACACAGCCTCTCTTTCTTGGACAAGCAGGCGGGTCAGCAGCCACAAACTGAAAGTGACTATGGTGATATCCCTTTGGATGAAGTATCTGCACAGCTGTACCAATCTCAGGCGCTCGAGTCACGGATTACACCGAAGCGTCTAAGCGATATCGCTGAGTCTGAAGAGTACATGGAGTGTCCAACAATGACCGTCGCACCCTCACCCACATCTGATGACTATGGTGACGATGACTCTCTTCTAGATGATGCCATGGTTGGGGTCGCTGACTCGCATAATCTTCAAGAGGAAGCTGGTGAGGAGTATAATGTTATGAGAGCACCTGAAGAGGCTTTACATGTGGAGTATGAGACCGGCCTTGACATGAATAGCTGTTCTGATGACGCCGGGTTCGAGGCGTCTGAAGACGGTCCTGATGAGCGCACTGAAAATATAAAGCCAGTTGCAGGAGGGTCGTTTTGGGACAGTCGCGACTCCCAGGCTATGCCCGGATGTAGAGAGCATTCGGAACGGGGGCGCAGAGAACAGCAGCCCAAGATCCCGGAGCCGCTACAGACAGCGTCTGATCATCCCCTTACAATTTCGGATGATGTACGTAATACTGTTCTCGAGACTGACGTGCTAGACCCGATCGACTTTGACTCATTGGATGTCAAGCCTGTTGAGAAAGAGATCAAGTTGAAGGAAGAAGCAATTCCCGACGCCTTCAAAGACCTCGAACCGTGGCTCTTTCAAGAGTTTGGGGACATTGTGGAGCTTGTGGATGGCTGATGGGAATGCAGTAGGAGGAGGGCGTGGCACGATACAAATCTGCTATTGGGGGATACTCCGCTGCAATGTTTCGTTCAGAATGCTGGAATGACGAGGGAAATGCGTGAGACTGGTGCAATGAGGTCAAATCAGTTTATGTTCATTTGCGGCTTGTTAATCCGAATATACTAATTTACATCTTGTCGTGCTAGCCGCTGTCAGAGTGGGCCATGAAGAGCCATGAAGACCTTGCGGATCAGCGTATGAATGGGGTGTTTAGATGGCGTATCGTCTGCTTGCCAGTAGCTTTTGAACATTGTATCTGATGGACTTTGGCAGCCGAAATAGCGGCGTCAGTGGAGCGGGAATGCCGGGCTATGCTATACAGCCATATCGGCCGCGTGTTCAGATACGATAGCATAACAGCGGTTGCCAGGCAAAATGCAGAGATAAACACAATTTGGGGGTTGGTAGGAGTGGCTGGGCAGTGGACCGAAGTGCTGCGCCTCCTTGCGCAACACCCACCCTTCGGCTTATATCAGTGCGCCGGCATTCATCATGGCCTCCTCCTTTCGTCGGCGCATCTCGAGCTTGGCCTCCTTGGCCTGTCGATGCTCATCCATTTTCGTATTGTACTCTGCTCTGCGCCGTTCATATTCCTGCTCCTTCTTCTTCTCCGCCCGAATAGCGCTCTTGATCTTCTTGCCCTCTGTCGCACTGATATGCCACGGTCTCGCTAGAACAGATTGCTTGAACGCCGCCGCCTCGGCCCAAGCCCGCGCCTCCTCATTCGTATCCGCGACGATGCTGATTCTTTTCAGATCGAGTTGCTTGGCACCGCGGAATTCAGAGATTGTGCCTTTTGCCTTTACAATGGTGCCGATATCGAGGCTTTGCTGGTCGACGAGGACGTCGAAGACACCGATGCGGCTGACGATGTGCACATTGTCGACTGTGGTGGGTGAGGAGGTGTCGACAGGGTTCAGACCGGGCGATGGGATTCTCGTAATGGTGAGGTCGATGGTTGCACCGCTGCCGTCGTCGATGGTGAGGACGGTGTAGCGGATGTGGATGTCATTGATGGCTACGATGGCGCCGACCAGGCGGACAAAGCGAATTGGATGGTTGAGGTGGAAATAGATGTTCTGTCCTGCTCTTTGCTGTTTAGCTGGATGGGTGGCGCGCAAACACGTTTCACAACATGATGGGTAGCTGACACAACGGATGACGCACCCTGGAAGTCGGGCTCGGAACGCAGGCCCTGGATGTCGGCTGCCGTGAGCTTGACCCAGGTGTTGAAGGTAGGCGAGGCTCTGAAGCAATACGCTGGGTACAGACGATGGGGATGCGCTGGTGGATGCCTTGACATAGCATGTTGCGTTGTAAGCTTGTCTGATGCGTAGAGGGTTCTGACGCATAGAGGGGTGGACCATCAATCAACATTTCGCAGCGAGACGTGACGCGTCCGGGTGAAACGCCAGATTACGGTATCACGTGTTGGCTGGGCAGCGCCAGGCCCGGGCCAAGTTCCGCCGACTTCCGACTCTTTACGTTCTCTCTCGCCGTTCTCTCCATCTCGAGTCAGCCCGGATGATCGGCTTCGATGCGCGACTTGCATGCAGCGCATATACCTATCCCATTCCATTATCCTATATACCTCCACCAATGCACGCAGTATGTACGGGTGTTCATTGTCTTTTGAAGGAAGCGCCGTTACCATGGCTGGGGTGCAAGCTTGGCTTTGCCTGGCTCTAGATCTGCTCGTAACATGGTTCTTTCTTTTGTTTGTACTCGCCCTGTTGCCAGGCTTCCCGATGGATACCAGTACGGGGCAGCAGTGCAGCAGTGAAGCACCGCTTCACTCCAACTAGGTCTACCTGGCCCTGGCCTGGCTTGCAAGCGCCGCAGCAACACCTCAACACCGCCTCTGTGCCATGATTGCTTAGCATCAGATCCATGTGCAACTAGTGATCAACCCACGAGCTCGAGCTCGCATGAGGAGCCAAGAGGGCCCAATGAGAAGCATCCCCGCCGCCGGTCCTATTCCTTCAGCTGTCCACGAAAAGCTAGTCTGGCTGTAGGGAAGGTCGAGAGTTATCCCAGCCCTTTTTTTTACATGGACCTTTTCAAGGACGGCTGGTCAAAAGGTGTCATAAGGCAGGGTGGGCAGCCCAATAATGCGCCCAAGTGACCGCTATTTGTTCCTGGGTTGCTTTCTCGTAAAGCAGAGTCTTTCGCTCTTTCGGCCTCACTAATCTAGGTACATACTGACACATCCGCATATTCTTAGCCTTAGCAAACATCTTTTGATACCCCGACAACTTAACACACTTCCACCTTTCCTTGCGCCGGCTGAGCTATCCTCGCTTTAGCTCCACGGTTACCAGAAAGATGCCATCCTTTGCGCCCTGGGTTTTGTCTTCGCTGCTACCTTTCATTGCTTTTGGCGCTGCGGAGCCGATCGCGATACCCGCAGCTTTGGCAAATGCGCAAACACTCTCCAACAACGCCCCGTTCTCTGGCGCAGTCTACATTGTGAATCCAGATGGCCAACAAGTGGTAGCGCAAGACAACAACTGGTGCCCAAACACGGCATCAGTAAGTTGTAGCAATATGGGCCACCCTAGCTGGTAAGAACTGATGAATTTGGAACCCCAAAGACCTCTCTCACTAATCGCTTACAGGTGCTGTCCTGCAAACTATGCTTGCGTTTCGCCCGCCAATTCCAATGGACTTATTGGCTGCTGTCCGAGCGGCAACACGTGTGGCGGTACGGTCAATGTGGCCGAGGTCCACACCGTGACTGTATATCCCCAGCAGCAAACCGCAGTCGTCTACGCACAACCACCACCTCAAACTACCGTCTACCATGACCCGGACCCCGCGGCTGCCGGCTTCTGCGCCACCATCACCATGGACGGACCGGGTCTCCCGCGAGCCGAGCAAGGACAATGCGGGACCATACTGGTAGTCAATGAAGGGGCTCCCTCTTTGAAGACTCTGGGTGTGGGGGCCGGGGTGGTTACCTTGATTCTCCAGTTGGCTTTTTTGCGTATGTTTCAGCGGAATTGAGTGGTTTTCTTTATTCATTTTTCCATCTGGCGTTGGAGGGGTTCGTCTTCGCCGTTTTCAAGTCGGCGGATTCACGATATCACGAATTATGAGACCGGTCACGTTACACATCAAAAGAATAAACGTTCATATGTCAAGGTCCGCTCGCGATCATCTAGGTACCTTTCTTGGCATCCTCCTCTGCATTCTTGGGCACGCTCACGACTTTCGGTACTATCACCGCGTTCAAGTGTCTAAAAGCCTGCATCACAAGCGTCAGCAAAACCTCAAACCAAAACAACGAATTCATCCCAAAAACTCAAACTCACATTCACAATGGGCCCCTCGGGCAACTTCCCATTCCACCGATCCTCCACCCGACTAATCTTCCCCTCCTCGTCCGTATAAACAGCCACCACACTCTCAATAACCTGCTCCTTCCCAATCCCCTTGATCACATACCGCGTCTTCATGTCCATCAGCATCGGATTCCCCGCATCCTTGACCTCGTGGTGCAGCCGCTCAATCTCGCTAAACGCACTCTGCAGCCCATACCACTGCGCCGCGTACTTGTCCCGGCCCGTGGCAATGGTGATGTTGTCGGTGAAGGTGGCGTCGTCGCGCCAGAGGGCTAGTTTGGGGAGCGAGGGGCGGCCGGCGAAGAGGTCGAGGATGGAGCTGATGAGGGTGTTTTGGTGCGCTGAGAGGGTGATTGAGGGCGCGGTTTGGACGTGTGTGGTTTCAATATTTAGCGGGCCGTTGGGCGAGGCGTTTGGAGGGCCGCCTGGTGTGTTGTTAGATTTATTTCTCAAGGGGCCGATGGGGTGTGCTTGGGAGGGGGATGGGGTTGATGTACCGGTCGACATGTTTGCGAGTCTTTGGTTTTGAAGCTGGGATTGGAGATGGGAAAATGTAGGTCGAACGGCGTTTTTCAGACGAAGCGATGTGTTGCACGTATTCCAAGCCGTTGAGATGAACGGTCGCATAGTAATACTACAGTGCAACAACAATGTACGAACAACCAGATCATCATCCTATCAAGACGCCTTACCCTCCCTTATACACAACCGATGATGAATTCACATGCATGTCCCTCTTTCCTCCATCCAGTCACCTTTTTCCACGCGCGTCATAGCAAAGTCATTCCCCCCAAAGGACTGAAGGGCGTTTGCAGTGCTTGGGGGTTTGGGCGATGCGCGGGTTCGATGCGTGCAAGTGATGAGGTCATGGGTTTCTTGGAGATCTTTGGAATCCAACTAGGTACTAGAGGGGTTTAGTGTAGGAGAGATCGCGAATCTGGGAAGGTGGGGGCGGGATCGGGGGCGTGGGGGGGGGGGGGCCGAGGTGTTTGGATGTCCAACGTCCAGGGGTGAATTTTTTTGGCAAGTTCTAGGAGACACTAGACTCTTTTATCTTTTACCTGCTAGCATTTTTATAGGTTTCTAATAGTAGTGGCGGATTTCACTACTGTAAAATTATTACATAGTGTTAGGTACCTTGGGGTGTCAGACTGGAGCAATGGCCGTTGATTTCTAAAGCCACAACTCAGGACTTGAAAATCTTCCAGTTCTCTTGAGCAGCTATGGTGTGTATTTACGATAATCAGGTGATGGAAAACGTGTATAGCGTGGATTTCTGTTAATTACGGAGACGTGCGACGACGCTTCACTACCCCGGCGTGTGGGTGTCAATGGTGAAACTAAACGTGTAAATGACACCTAGCCACCATCACACTCCCCGCACAGTAGAACATCTTCAAGCCAGAAAATATGAAACACCCAGAAGAAGCTTCCTCAGTTTCATGCAACTCTACAAGTCGATCCCCCTCTTGATCCCCAGAGCGCCCCTATCAATCATTCACACCGAACGGACAAGATCCCCTCTCCGCAGATTATGCGTTGTCCAACGACCTTCAAATCCGTCATCCAAGGCCTGGGGTCAGACAGCAACAACGCATGTCGCAGAGAAATGTACGCGGATCCAGCTCAACTTGCACGCCGGGCGGCGACGCCCTCACTTCGTGCTAGAGCGCTATTGGCCCATGCCTTGTTTCTGTTCAACCTCTACGGTATGGTATCCCGCTCTCCTATGACATCTACTTTGAACACTACTCCAACGTCTTACTCGACACCAAGCCGCCCCTTCACTCACCATCCCGGTCGCGCTGCAAAATTTGTGTATTGTCGGCACACCTTGTCTGCCCGGGTATATCTACTACTGCTTGAGCAGGCAGCGAGAATGGTAACGCCTTGTATTTGTTGTAGCGGGGGATCATCGATTTCACCGGGCGTCGTGGCCGGTACAGCATAGCTTGCCTTGCACTGGGCCAAGCGCTATCTGCTGCTACTTGTTCTCCTACAAAGGACCACTTCGGGGGTCAGCGCTTGGATGCTCGTGGACGATTGGAACATTGGTGCTGGCTAGTCATGACAAGAGCAACGTATCGCTTGTGAGCACAGTGCGGGTGAATACTGTGTTGAGAGTTGCGGGTGCGGGCTTGATTGGGGGCGGGTTGTTAGTTGGGGCGGCGAGGGGGTGGAAGTGGAGGGCGGTTTGATATGTGGTTTAAAGAAGAGGTGGCGGTGTTTTTGTTGCTGTTGAAGTGGGAGATCTTGTGGGTGGCGAGGGGGAAAGGGGTTGTTTTCTTGAGGGCGAGGGTGCGGGAGGAGAAGATATGAGGGGAATTTTTGCTACGCGGGTTGATGTCGATAGGGTTCAAATTGTAACCAAAGTACGATCGCCCGGGATTGAACAGGTTAAGCATGGCTCGCTTTCGCAGTCAGGGTATTGCATTGTACTGCGTCTAGTACTGTTCCCATCCGAGATACGAGCGATATGGTGTATACCATCACAAATACGAAGCGAGAGATGGATTTATTCAGTTAGAGGCAAGATGTGCCATTAAAGACCTTGTAGTAGGCAAGAACATCACATTTTCAGAACCAGACTTGAAGTTTGTGAGAGCAATATAGCTAGTATTACAACCACAAACGTGGATTATACTAATGGTACATGGAGTTACAATATGAAATGAACTACGAGACAATCGCAGTGGGGTATAAGTGGATATAATCTGGAACACAAGGAAATCATTGATGAATGGTGTGCCATCGGGGTGCACAATGTGCCTTTTGTTGGCATTCTTCTTAGTTGTCACAGTCACGTGACGTCTTTCTCCCTTCCTCTTCCTCTTCCTCTACTCATCACCGTCTTCTTCTTCCGATACTGCACGGGCAGGCTGGTAGTTATAAATTGCTCTTGTCCGCACTTCATCGCGGCGCGTGGGCGACTGCCTTCGCTGGTTGATATTCTGCGACCAGTAACAGCAACAGTCTTCATCTTATTCTCATTGAACGGCTACTATTGCAGGTTGGATATTTGCGTCTCGATCACGTTCTGGCGTTGTCCATGACGTGTTTTGTCATTGTTTCAAGTCAGAGCGATGATCGAGTTGAAGTTGCTCAGTAGATCACGACTCAATCGGAACTCTTTGGCCGTGTTGTCATGCGGCTGAAATGCAATTTCTTTCAAGATCTCTTGGGGTACAGGAAGAGGCTTAGACTTGCCATCTTCGATCGGATTCTTTTCAATGGGCGGTGGGGGCAGGGGCTTCTCCTCGGCGGCTGTGATCTCAGGCAAGACTTCCAAGGGCGGCGAAGGCAGCGGCTTCCTCCTGATCTCTTGGGTAAGAGTGATCTTCGGTGGCTCGATAGATTCTTCTTTGATGCTTGACATGGAAGGGCGCGTACTGATACTGGCGGTCGAAGATGCACTCGAGCTTGCCGCAGAGGTTTTGCGAGATCGGTGAAGATCGGCATCCATAGGTCGTTCAAGCCAGTCTTCCAGTTGTTCATCGGAAATCTCAGTCGTTGGGCTGCTTAGTGAACTCCAGGAATGCGAACTCTCGGGGGTCTGAGGTGGAGAAATGTGGAAAGGTCTCGCCAAGTCTGAGTCGTAGGATGCCTGCTTCCAGATCATGAAGTTTTGCATTCCATCGACAATCTTGCGACGCGACTCGCGGTCCTTTGGCATCCTAGTGTATTGATAGGGAACACTGAAGTCTTCTGCGCAGTCGACTGGTGAGGAGTCGGAGTCATCTTGGTTGTCCGAGTCTCGGTCCGTGATAGCAGAGCCGTTGGAGGGAGTGACCGAGGCAACGGTGAGGGTGGAAGATGACGAAAGTGTCCTGAGTCGTGATTGTTCAATGTATCTTTGTCGTCGATACGCTTGTTCTTCGTTCCTGTTCAGACGAATGTGGGCGACGAGAGCGCCTTGCTTCTCGTTCAGCTTCTGTAGCAAGGAGCGCTTTGGTGGAGTGATGATCCGATCCTCTTCGAACCGATATCCAATGGTCGTCATTGTGTCAGGTGTCCTTGACGAACGGCCAAGTGGGGGAGGGTTGCGACGAATATGTAGGTAGAGTGGAGTGTTATTGTCTTGCTGTGTTTTGTTGTTGATATGGACTAGCCACTGAAACCTTGAACCAAACTTTTTTTTGGGCAGCGGCCCACGGCTACATAACGCGTAACTGGCTCCACCCCGGTCACAAAACAGCAGTAGGCCTGCCAATTTGATGACAACGCTGCATCGCGGGCCGCACACTAAAGAGGCTGGGAGGAAAGCGTTGGAGTGTTTAAAAGTTTAGTGGATGGGGCCAGGTTAGTGGGCGTTGAACAGCCCAATGCTGTCCCGTTCCTTGTCGTTCGGAGGTGCAGCCGATGACGCAGTACAACAATTTCCCCTTTCCGACTCCGCGGCCAGGGGGGGGGGAAGGCCTCCCTTGCGTGTAGTCGAAGACGAGTCCAGAACACCAGGCCATTGTAGATCATTGTCGCCGGTTTCCCGTGCGCAGCAAGGCATCGGTGATACAAGACCATGACGCCGTGGACGGGGAGGGGTGTCGCCGTTCTACCTGGCCATCACCGTTGTGGACACTTCATGTCGATACAAGTGCTGTAGCCGAGCCGTGCCCTGCACATGAACGAAGACGGCGTTCGCAGATGGTACTACACAGGAACCGTACTCTAGACTGCAGCAGGTACCGGTATGCAGACGACGATTTCCTCGCCAAACCATCGAGGAATTTTTTGTGGAATTAGCAAGTAACCGTGACGTATCGGAAGGATGGGGCAGGATGAAGCGAAGCTCCACACTACCCACGAGCTGATCTGAAAAGCAATGACCGCCCTACGAGCGCTCCCAAATGAAGGCTGGCCTCATGGCTGCAGTGCTGACTGTACTCTGTTCCACGGAACTCAGTAGCTCGTATGTACACATGCTACTCCTGAGTCCTGACTTCAGCTCATACTCCTAGGTAGTAAGGAAGCAAGGTGCAAAGCCTGCTGTGACTCGAGTCTTGGGAGATACTCTCCATAGTGCCACGAGTAAGTACCACGAGAGCACAAGGACCGACTACAAAAACACCAACAACAACAACAACAACAAGACCACCACCCATGTGCTGTCCAACGTGCGCAGTAGCATCGGCAGCAAGGCGGGCTACCAGTACTAGCAACCAGACCAGACTAGCCATGTTGTGGATGGACAACTGCTGGCTGGCTGAACACAATATGGACATCAGCTGTGTGGTATACCTGTCCACCCGTTACTCAGCAAAGTATGGCTAGGTCCACAACAGCCAATACGGTAAAGCTAGTGACGTTCAACCGTCTTGAAGACTTGGAACAAACCCCGGCCTCCATGCTATTATCTACCGTACCGGTACTATGTCCTTGTCCAGCAGCCGGCTCCGTGTCTTCGCACCACAAGTCTCATCTCCAATCCATGTCGTCCCGTCGTCCTCAGATTCCCTCGCTTGCCACGTGAATCGGATCGAGCAAGGCATCGTGATGAACGCAATCTGCCTCTCTTCTCGCCATCACCACATGGCGCTTGCCCAAAGCTCGGCGCGTATGAACAGCACTCTTGAAACTTGACAGCCGCCCCCTTGACAGCCCTCGAAACTCTATTGATCAACTGATAGCATTTCGAGAAGGTACCGGTACACAGGAAAGTGTGTATGCAGTGTGTAGTGCACACTGCATAGTAGATCACGACCTGTGCAGCCGTGCCGAACGTTTCCCCAAAGTTTCGCTTAATGAAGATCGCTCTTTTTGACACAATCAAGCGGCAATATTTCGAGTCTTCCGTCATCCCTATCGGCCCTTCTCTGGCATGCCTGATTCGCAGCCATCCATAGGGCTGGCTTTCGAGAATGGCTATGTTGCGCCGGCCCTAAACCAAACTTCGAAGTTGAAAAAAAAAATAGGTGTTGAAAGGTTTCGTCGGTTGTTGATGTACCGTGTGAATTCGGCCTAGGCAATGTAACATCGATCGTGAACGTGTCTGCACAGAGACTTTGCTGCTCTGTCAAGTCCAGGTTGTGGAGATGCACCATGTTTGCATTTCACTTGTGGTGGAGTTCGCAATCAGCCATCAAAAGCAACATCGGCGCCTACTTTGCATGCGACGAGCAAACGCATGTCCCCTTTGTCATTTCATCACAAGCACGAGGGTAATGATTCAACACAAGAACATCTGACGGCTCTCAGGCCGATAAAATCTCACAGCGATAAAGTATAAATCCCTCACGTTTCTACAGTTGTGACGCCGAACCCCCTCGTCGTATATCCTCCTTATTATAACCCAGGTTTCCCCAATCGAAGCTATTGTTTCGTGTTTCAAACCCCACATGATTTCTTACACAGTAGTCAGGTCTACCGAGCAAGTACGTCGCGACAGAGTTTGCAACTGCCCTTTGGAGTATTCAGATCCATAAATGTATGATTTATAGACAATAAGCAATAGTGAAGCTCCTTGAGTGTATTGGTGTTGTGTAAGGGTTGCCCAGAGAAATCGCTTTAACCAGAATTTCGCTAGTCACCGCGACATAATCAAGGAAACCCGTTCGGCGTTTCAAACATCGGTCCACCTTGCGCACAACATGCCCAAAAAAAACAATCAATTGTCGAGCGACAAATTTCCGCGGCTCCAGAAAGCGTCGTGTAACAGTTCCGCGACCGGTTTCTGCTTCTCCTACTCTCTGCGAGACCAAGCCAAGATTTGCAGACTAATCTCTTGTATAAACACGACATGTTGCTGGTGATTTCTTAGACAGTATCTGTGACTAGCATGGTATACAAAGTTTACATTTTTAATTACATACTCTATGTTCAAACTTTCCCGGCCTAAGGCTCACAGCTTTCAGGCGCATACAGACAGAGCTGAAGACACGTTGTCCCCTTCGACTACTGGACGGGTAGATTATGCACTTGAACCGATATTGCTGACTCCTCGCTTCAATTCGTCATTGGGCTGGCGCTGAGAGAGGATGAGATATTGGATCATCGCAGCAGGCTGCCACGACAACTTCTTATCTTGCTCATGCACACTGCGCAACCGATAAAGGACCGCAAGTATCCATGCCTTTTAGACAAGAATCAAAACGCGCAAACATGACCTTCCTGTGAAGACATATCCCTATTTCGCCGTACCATCAGCCCAACCCGTCATCCAACACAACCTCCCACATCGCTTTCCCCCTCCTCACACACATCTCGATAGACTAGACAACCCTCCCCTTCCTATCCCATCCCTCAAACCCCCTTCTCACCCCGCGCATCCACCAACCCATCCTCCGTTTCACCCCAAAACACCAAATCATCAATCCTCTCATACAACCTCTCCATCCTGCGCCTCTCTTGCATCCCCGAAAGATTCAATCGCGGCCAATTAACCTGCTCTCGCCGTAGACCAAGTGCCATGGTGAGTATACGCAGGAGAGTTTGCAGTTGCAGGATTGTATCGATGTAATTGCCGCCATTCTTGGTACTGCATGGACAGTTATTTTGCGTCGATGTGCTGATGCCACATGCATGAGATTGATCTGGCTGGTCTTGTCTTTGCTGATCTTGCTTTTGCTGACTGCATTGCTCGCGCTGCCCAAATTTCTCACACTCCTCGCGCTCCAGAGTAAAATGTTCGTTTAACTTCTCCTGTAGAACGAGGACGGCGGTGGCAGTGGTGGTGGCATGAGAGCGCGATCCGTGGTTTGTGCCCAAGGCGACGCGGGCAAGGGACACCAGGGTTGCGAGATATCGTTGTAGTGGTGGATATTTGGGTCTGGGAGGGTTTGGTAGGATGGATGTAGAAGTTGAGGTTGTGGAGGGGGATTGGGGGTTGGTCTTGCTGGTGTTGGTGCTGTCGGATGACATGGTGGTGATTCTGTGTGTCGAGGGATTTTGTGTAGACATGTGTGTTTGGAAAGGTTTGGGTATAGTATCATGTCGGGTTGAATGCTGCTATTGATGCTGCGGGTGGGTATTGTATTGTAGTTCTCTTTCTTATTCTGCAGGTGGGTGATACCGAGCATGTGTTTGTCGCGGCGTTTGCTTGATGCGTTGTTCGCAGACGAATGATTCGATGGGATTTTCAAGACGAGCAATCCAATGATATGAAGTATATTTACGCTTTGATACAATAAAAAGTCTGTGGTCATTTCGGACGACAGGGTATAGACTATAATTCCATGCATCGCTCAATCATACTTGGAAGACACTGGCCAACCAGACATCACGACCACGAAGATTGCACTCCAATGTACTTGTACATTTCAATTTTAGAGATCCAATCAAACAGCCAACTCATCGAGATTTTAAGAAGCTAGAACCCATTCACTGACTGCAAAGGCGTATAATATTCAACAATAATCACCTTTGGAGACTGTGGTTTGGATCTGGCAACAAATTAGCACGCAATACAGCCTCCAGAGACGAGTGCTAGCAATAAAGGCCTTGGAGAGAAGGTAAATGAACTAACATGAGGATTGGGATTGTGGCCATTGCGCAGAGGTCCCGTATATCAGAGAGGCTGGCGATTGTCAGTGCAGTAAGGAATATTCATAGGTCTTTCCTAAATCTTCCAGCGTTTTTTCGTGATATTAGGTACATTTAGGGTTGGCCAAAATATTCTCAGACATCACGCTGGTCCGGAATATGATGTGGTGTGATGAGGCCAAGTCAAGCTAGTATGGGTGAATGTCTGCAAAATCACGGAACAACATGGAATAATGGGGTCATAACTATTATTTGAGGAGGGCTATGGGTGTGACCATACGAAAATACTCCCTACCCGGACATAAGCAATCACTTCTGCTGCCTTTTCCCTTTCTAATCGGCCCAATGCTACCCAATGATTGTGAGCTTGATTATACATTTGACATACAGAGGCTCCAAGGCAAGTCTTTATGGAGGGGCTTACAGTTACGAGTACTCGACAGATTATTTACCCACTCCTTGATGACTTGTACGGGCGGCTGTAGTTTGGCACCGTGTATCTGGTCTGTATCGGTAAGCTTCAAGGTTTCTAGCGAGGGGATCATCATATGTTGGACTAACTGGGGTGGACAGGCTCGCATCTCCAGTGACAATGATGGGAGTGTGACGGCGCGCGAGCTCCTCATCGGAGAGTCGAAGAGGGGCTCTGAGGGGCACCAGTCCTCGGTTGTTCCCATCGAAGGGTGCTCCTTCGTATTCTTCCCACGGCGTGACCTCAGGGTTGTATACCCTGTCTGGTGTGGTGATGTTGATCGTGATACCGGGGTCGGTGACTTTTGCCTTTCCATTGTCGACAGCAGCAGCTTGATGGCTGCGCAGAAGTGGTAGAGCCCACTGGGAGCTCGAACCCATCTCGAAGTCACCCCCACCTGGGCTTCGGCCACCCCGTCTCAATTCGTACTCACGCTTCGAGCGGCGGCGGCGAATCCAAACCAAGATCCCGGCCCCCAACAGCAGACCTCCAGCTAGCAGGAAAATGTAATAGTACCTCGCCGGGCTGCCAGCACCTGCAACCTTGAGGGGCGCAGTCCCCGCAGAATCGAATATCATGATGGTAGCCACAACCATATTGATTATCAAAGTGTGTTGCAATGTTTTGGAAGATTGTGAAAAAGCAGTGAGCAAGTGGTGGAAGTTGGGTCGAGGTTGAAGGATTGTTGTGGGAGCTGCGAGGTTTTTGTACGAGTCCAACAGGCTGCCAAACGCTGATGGAGACTTTAGACACGAGGAGTGATGAAAGTGAAAGCCAAAGGGAACCTCATGGCTCTAAGGTGCACACATCAATACTGCAAACGAAAGGTCATGCACCTCGAACAAGCGGCATGAACAGTGCGAGCTTCGACTCGGAATGAAAGACTTCACGGTGAAGAGGGCATGATAAGGGATTGGAGGGCAAATAAGATGCTTAGGAGATTGGGACTGAGATAGTTTAGAGGCATCCTCGTTTACAGTGGCTATAGAGACTGTAGGGATGGAGCGTAGGTTGGGAAGACTCCAAAGAGTGAGGGTCGACGATGTGGTTCGGAAGCTGGTTCGGAACAGTGGACGGGGTTTAGGTAGCGTCATCGGCCCCGGGCTCGCCAAGCAATCGCGTCACTGGAAACACATCTTTGTGGCACCGTGATGGACAGACTACTTTATCCACCCACACCCCGCATCTTCCCCAACGATAAAACGCATCTCTCCCAACCGTACAAGAAGTCAAGATGGTCAAAGCTGTCAGAGGTATTGGCCGAGTATGCCAGAGTGGCTGGACAGAAGGCTGACAGCTGCAGGCACGCTCGTCAAATGCGACGCGTCGATCAAAGCCATGTTGGTTGACATTGACAGCAAGAATGGCAACGAGTACATCATCGAGGAACTAGACGAGGAGCACATTCTTGTCAAGGAGACCAAGGTTCACGAGCTCAAGAGTCGTCTCAACCAGGTGGGAACATGACACCGCACGACCGCAAACTTGCTAATGCTCGTCTAGATGATGAAGGAACGACTCAAGGAGCCTGACACGTCGGACTCGGAATGATAGTTCAAATCTCGTCGTATTACTAGACTGTATACTGCGCGAATGCTCATTCTGTCTACGATCCTTACCCCATTCAGGACATGGCCTTGTTCTGCGCGGCTCCCTCCTGAGCGGCAATCCACTTGGGTCGGAGGGGAGCGTAGAGCTCTGCATTCACCGTCATGTTGTCCACGACGCTGGTGTCATCAAGCGTTCCGGCCTACCCATATTAGTACCACGTACGCCTTCACAAGGTGAAATTTCGCCTACCTTGATGATACGCTTGCCCGGGAACGACGCTCCTTGACGCCACATGGTGGAACCACAGTCGCCACTACCCCTGTCAGCCTCTATCTTACAGAAGAACGGAGACACCATACCAGAACATGGACGTGATTTCATTACCACTCTCTCCCTTGACTGTGTGTGGCTTTGGGGTGCCTTTGGTAACCTTGAAGCCGTCTTCTGGGAAGACGCAGTTGGTGGAGTAGGTGCTACCAGTAATCTTACGGCAGTCGTAGCAATGGCAAAGGATCTACATTGGTCATGAGCAACCGCGACTCTCCACATCGACGATACTGCATACGTTACCCTCACTGTTGCCAGCCACCTCGTAACGAACGTTACCACAGAAGCATCCTCCTACGGCCATTTTGCTAGACTGGGTTGGGATAACGTTGAGAAAGAACGGTTGGGTGATGGGACAAAGAGGTGGGATCTGAGGTCGTTTGGTGTGAGAAAAGACTTATCACTACAAGTGGTGCCTGTCGGGTGGTTTTTATACCTGAGAAATTACCCCGCTGCGTTGGCCGCCAAATTCAGTTCCCCACTGCGGCTTTAGTGCCTAGACCTCCAGCCCGACCCGATGATACTGTTACGACCAAAGCGGGCCGGACAGACGGCGTAGCGCATGCGGTTTCCAAAACCACCGACACCGAGGTGGAACTGTTCAGGGCCAGCAGAAGATACCTACCGCACATGGCTGAAGTGCTCTAGGCTTCACTTCACAGTCTGCGCCCTTGCCGCGGGCATGCTATTTCAAATTTCGCCTGCGCTCTTTTGTGACATTGGCGCCCACGTAACAGCTCACGAGAGTAGCAATGCGACTGTTGATGCTTTGTAATAGCGTCTGCCTGTGACTCTCAGCTGACCAAGACGAGCGCAACCTCATGTCGGCCCCGCAGAGGGCAGATGAGGGGTGACGTCGCTGTACATTACTACGGTGGGCCATTGGCGGGTGAAGGGATAAAAATTGAAATGCGATTTGCAGCACCCTCCACAACACATGCACGATGTGATTTAGGTCTATCTTCTGCTTAGTGCTAGGAGAATACAGATACGGCATTCATTTTTTTTTGGCAATAGCAATAGTACTAGTAGAGCGCCGCCGATCATAACAAATATGGCAGGGAACACCAGAAAATCAGCAGATTTTTACAAAGAAACATGTACCCCTCGCCACATGTACAGTATTACTGTATGCAGCTACGGTTTGATGGGTTTTCGACTATCTCCTGCTACAGGGGAACTGTGATGTACCAGATTTCCAGTCTGTAGTGTACATTTGAATAATACACTGGGGCTGTGGTACAGTGATGATTTCTTTGATGATCTCTGGTTGTTTGAACCTGTGAAAGCGTTTTGTCCTTTCATTCGCTATGGTGAGCCGTAACATTGAATGCATCGTACTACAGCTGCCCTGCAGCGCGGGGCACACCGATAGCGGCCCGCACGTGAGCGCGAGACAATCTGGCGTTCTTTTGGTCTGTCGCCCCAACTGAAGCATCACGACATGCCATTCACACGCGAAATAACATAGTCCCCGGAAGCTATATAAGCTCAAACACTTGCCATGGATGGCAAAGCCTGATGCATTCGTATTCTTGACGCGTTCGCGAACATCACCACCCCACACGTCTTCACCTTGACTTCCCTCATTCTTTCTCGCTCTCATTGAGCCAACATGGCGAATTCCACGTCCAATGTGTGGACGCAGATGAACTACGTCCCCCCTCGCGGACAATGTAATCACAAGGCTTCGATAATAGCAGCAAAATGCCCGTGTTTGCGCTTCATGTTGCATCCTCTCAAAGTACGCATCACAAAAATCTACAGCTGCGCAATTATATGACTGACTGGCTGACTTACAAGTAGTCCTCGTCTTCCTACGAATGCGACGGCTGCGCCCATCATGCCTCTTTTCATAGCATGGAGAACAAAGTCGAAGACGAGATTCGCAAGCGCTGGGAGCAGGAGGCCAAGGATAAAGCAGATAAAGAGGAGGATATACAACAGCGACCGAAGAAGCGAGTACGTGCTATTGAGTACAGTGTCCGCAACAGTGACACTTTTGCAGACGACGATCTTGACGCGGCGCTGGAGGCAATGTCACGCAACACCAGGTCCACGGGAAGAACTCGTGGAGGAGGAGCGCGAAACCCTGGACGGGCTGCAGGTACCAAGGCGAGGAACAAAGTCGCTGAGGTCGTGGAAGATGATGACGGCTTTGTTGAGTTGGACTGAGAACGATGTCTGAGTTGAGTATTCGTAATATGAGCATATGAAGGCGTCATGAGCGGGGCTCGTTGGATAAACTCGATATGATACCCCGGAATTCCCACAGTTGTATACATAGTATTTAGCTAATTGTAGTCTACAAGCGATTACCTCTATCATGTCCAACCATTTCACCTCTTTGGCAGACTGGAGAGCATGACAGTCCACCTTTCTGTTAGCGCCAAGCACTGACTCGCGCGAGCTTCACAAACATCTGCCCTTGCTCCTCTTTTCACATTAAACTTCCAAACGACGACATGATAGCGCATTGTTCGCGGTGACCTCACTCGATTCGCCGCATGTCCATACTTTTGTGATCGAATCAATATTCCACGCTTCCACCACCATGGCGACCCCAACGCCCTCGACCAACACGCCCTCCAAACACCTTCCCACCTTCTCCTCGCCCGCCCCGCGAAGCGTTCCCCACACCGGCACTATCAACATGATGTCCTATGACTCGCCCGCTGTGCTTAACATGCTCAACGATGCGAGCTCAGCCATGGGCGGCGTGGGCATGGGCATCACCATGAGCGGACTCGGCATGTCCAGCCTCGGCATAAGCGCAAGTTCCATGGGCCGCGCAGACGAAGCAGAGCGAAGCCGGCGACTGCAAAACATACTGCAGACCGTCGGAGCGAAACCAGGGCGTGTTAGTGAAGCAGGACTTCTCGCGCTGTGCAAGAGCATGGGCATTGCGTGTGAGCGGGCGCCAGATGACCCGGGGACATGGAGTCTTTTGATCGGAGACGAGATCTTATGCGACGTCACGTTCAAGAACGACGAGATTTACAATGTCAGTCTGCAGACGAGATTGGATGAGTCGAAGCCGGAGTTGCGTTTCGGCGCGACAGGATCACAGATTCTCATGAAGAGTTTGAGGCCGCTGCCTGGGCAGAGCAAGATCAACAATACGCTGGATCGGTTCGCAGAGAGTTTGGGAAAACTCAATGCGCTGACGGTGTTGGGTACGGAGCATGGCGGGGGGGTTAGCTGCTACGATGCGATAGCAGGCGTGTATACGAGTCTGAGGAGGTTGTTTGAGCATGAGAAGAAAGCGGCGCTGGCTGCAAGGGAGCCGGATGAAAGATTTCGAAGCCACAAAGCGGAAAGAGAGGTACTGTGCAAGAAGAGTGGGCGGCCACGGATGAACGGGGGCTCGTGTCTGGGACTGAGTCTGGAGTATTGGATGGAGAGACGACATTTGATTCCCAAGGATGCATCCGTACAATCTGAGAAGGGCAAGGAGAAGGTAAGCGACGAAGTGAATGGTACTACCGAAGGCGCTGCAGCCGACGATGAAGGCCTGTATTCTCTTACCATCGAATGCGAGTCCTGTCAATCCACCCTCTACACACCCATTCGCGTCTCTGACGAATGGATCGGTGAGAGCATCGAAAAGGCCGTGGACGCCAACGACACCAATGCCTCCATCGACAACATCTTACTGAACCGACCCTCGATCAACTGGCTAGACCCCAAGCCCACGTACCTCGACACCTCGGCCCAAGGCGAGGACGCGATGAACATCGACTCCGCAGGCCGTCTGCCCAACATCCGCTTCGTCGCCAAATTCAACCCCCCGCTCATCGTCCCGCTAGCCGTGCACATGCAGCTCTACCAGATTGTAGGCATCGAGCCCCGCATGGAAGACTACAAGCCCATGACCTTTGTCGGGCTCGCCCTGCGGCCCGGTGACGAGGATCCAGGCAGCATGGCCACGGCCGGGGAATCGACGCTCGAGATCCAGAGTTCCCGCACCGTCCTATACCGGGACACAGAGGGCAGGGAAAAGTCGCGAACGCACGACATGAGTCTGTACGTGCCAAAGATGGAATACAGTCGCACGCTCGACAGCCTGCCCTTTAGCCACCCGAAACAACTGGTGGAGATTCTGCCGACGCTGCGACAGTACGCGGCGACGACGAGTCTGATGCGTGATGCATTTTTCGACCCGAAGCGCAGCGGGCCAAAGGCCGGGATGTCCCAGGCGTTATCGTCACCGCCGCTTACGCCGCCACGGCGTGGTGGCCATGTGCAAGGGGAGAAGCAAGGGGAACGGGATAGTCTTCAGATTGATGTAAATCTCTCCTACACTCCGCCTCCACGCTTCACAATCTTGATTCCCCAACCAAACTCCACCCCTCCATCTACTTCCAACCACACCACCAACGATAACACCGCACCCCCAAATCCCCAAGACATGCCCATCTCCACCCTCCTCTCCTCCCTCCTCTCCCCCGCATCTCCCCCCCCTCACATCCCCCCCTCCCCCCCCAATCCCATTAGCATAACAATCGACGTCCACCCCAACGCCACGCTCCTCGTCTCGGAAACCACATTGTTCCCGCCGTCTCGGGGCACGGCGGACGCCCATGCCGTGGACGGTGCGGTGCAGCATGAGGGCGGCAGCTTGCACGGGGATGAGCGGGCCAGGAGGGTTGCGCAGGCGTTGGAGGTTTGTGGGGATATGGGGGTATGGGCCGAGTGGGTTTTGTGGGGTCCGGGACGGGGCGCGTGATGGCCATCTTTCTTTGTATTTTTTCCTTCTTTGTATTTTGTTGTATTTTTGTTTTTCATTTCCAGATGCATCGATCCATCCAAGTCGGAGATTTTAAAATCAACATCCAAATCCAAGATTTTGTAATTCTCGCATTATATATGAGATTTCTCGTCTTGTCCCTTGCATGTTTCATCTTGCCTTGCATGTTTATCAACCGTCAACCGTCAACCGTCAACCGTCAACCGTCAACCGTCAACCGTCAACCGTCAACCGTCAACCGTCAACCACCACGTAAACAAACGACAGGATCAAGTAACCCAGTGTATAATCCAGCCCAGCTTGGAGTAGCACAGTATACATGTATACCGTCTATAAAACTACAGTACATGCGAGATCGCACCGACGTTAACAAAGTCAGGCCACTGCACTGCACTGTGGCTAAACCATACTCCCAATCGTTTCGAACAAGTCCAACAGTTTACACAAACATCCTACACATCCCACAATCACCAAATCACCAATCACAAATTACACACCACATCAAATCACATCACACATCACAATCATAAAAATTACACCATGTCCAAAAAAAAACATCTCAACCAAACGAAAAAATCTTCCATTAAATCCTGCTGCAGACATGACGAGCAGGTGAAGCAATTCATCCATGTCATCCATGGCATCCATTCGTCTAACCTCCGCACGCGTCCCGGGCTATGCATGACAAAACTCCCGCCGCTTAATTCTCCAGCATGGTGTATATGTAGGTGTGAGTAGGTGTGAGTAGGTATAGGTGTAGGTATAGATGTAGTTGTGTGAATAAGAAAGACCGAGGGGCGAAGTCATCCACATAAACATGGCAAACGGCCCCCTTAGTCATTCCCATCGTCTAAGCGCAAAATCGGGCGATTCTTTTCATAAATAGAGAAAAAGGGGAGGAGGTGTAAAGGGATATGAGAGTGAAAAAGGTCGTGCTGCAATGCAAAAAAAAACAAAGATGCCACACTATGGCTTGGCCACCTCGACCACCATGTCGAGATCGACATTGTCCGCCTTTTGTGCGAAGCGGGCGATGTCTGCACCCTCGACCTTGCCGTACATGGTCTCGGCGATGATGCCGGTGATCTGGTAGGGGTCACCGTTGGAGGCGGGGCGGCGGTCCTCAAAGTAGCCCTTTCCTTCCGCAGCGACGGCGCGGGGGATACGGACAGAGGAGCCGCGGTTGGCGACGCCCCAGGTGAACTTGTCATACGAGGCCGTCTCGTGCTTGCCCGTCATGCGGAGCTGGTTGTCTGAGCCGTAGACGGCCATGTGCTCGGCCTGGCGGGTAGAGAGCTTCTCCATGGCGGCCTCGATGGCCTTCATGCCACCCTCGGCACGCGTCTCGTTGGTAGAGACGTTGGTGTGCAGACCGGCACCGTTCCAGTCACCGGGAATGGGCTTGGGCGCAAACGTGACCTTGGCACCAAACTCCTCGGCAACGCGGTGGAGAAGGAAGCGCGACATCCAGAGCTGGTCACCGAGCTCGATGCCAGCGCAGGGGCCGACTTGGTACTCCCACTGGGCGGGCATGACTTCGGCGTTGGTGCCAGAGATGTTGATCTCGGCGTACATGCAGGCCTTGTAGTGAGCCTCGACGATGTCACGGCAGAAGACCTTGCCGGTTCCTACACCGCAGTAGTAAGGACCCTGGGGCGCGGGGAAGCCGTTCCTGGGCCAGCCATAGGGCCAGCCAAACTCGTCGAGCAGGGTGTACTCTTGCTCCAGGCCAAACCAGAAGCCGTGCTGCTTGTGGGCCTCGAAGATGAGGTTGGCATCGTGGCGGTAGTTGTAGGCGTTGGGCGAGCCGTCCGACATGTACGTCTCGCACATGACGAGGACATTGTCGCCCAGACGGAAGGGGTCGGGGTAGTAAGCGCAGGGTCGGAGGTAGCAAGACAGCGACATTAAGTCCTGTGACATGGTTGCGTC